CAAAAAACGGAAAGAACTTTTGCACCGGACTAATATATGACTTATTGCGGTTGAAATTCAGAACGGTCGGAACTTGTGGGGCAACCTGATACATTACTCAACACAACAGTAGGTGAAATATGACAATCTCTGCAGCTTGGCCTGACATTGTTTTTCGGTAAAGCGATTGAGGAAGGAACGTCCTTATACTTAGTGGTATACAGACAGAAACGCGCTTACCTTTCAATGTGTTCAGGAAAAGGAAACGATTCACTATCAAACACAAAACCTGGAAATCGCAGCTTGATACCCTATGCTTTTAATTCAAAATGTAGTAAATGATAGCAGGCAAGAAGATGGATAGATAGCGAAAATATGGTGTTTAATAGCATTGTAATGTACTTTTTTGTTATCATGCCTGCAAGGATGACCTGGTAAAACCTTGTGGTTTCCCATGCACTTTGATGTCTTTCATTCGCAGAGAAAAATTTCGGATGTTGATCAATATGCCGTGATAATTCCAAGGGAGCAGAATCAATAGCTGGTAAGAAAGAGTCGCAAGACTATGATGCGAACATCAGAAGCAAATCAAATTCATGGCAAATATATTGATATTATGCACGATTCTATTGTCAACGCCCTTACAATACGCCGTCCATGGACACAATCACCACCCATATATCCGAGTTCATTACGGCCCACCTTACAGGCCCGTCGTTAGCCTGGTAAGCCGCATAGATCGTTTCTATGCATGGTTGTAAGCGCTCTCGAATTTTAGGTATCTTTACGTCATTATATGTATCCTTGTGCTAAGCCGATGCCGTCGGGTCAGTTGCGTGCTGTGCTGGTTGCCGCTGATTTTGACAGTTGTATACTTTACAGTTCGGAATGACTTGGACAAAGGCATAAATGTTCGTTGGGTTTCATAAGATGATTTTCTATTAAAAGTGTATCCGCACTCAAAACGGCGGCAGTTGCATTCACTTTTCACAACTAAGAGCAAGCTCAGATATCAGAAATCGTAATGTTCAGTTTTGCAATATACTCTTTGATTTTATACCAGAGTACAACGTTTTTCGAAGGATTCACGGTCGGAGGAAATATTGGAGATGCAAAGGATGCTCCGGAAAACAGCATGGCTGCACTGAAACTGGTGAATGCTCTTTTAATTCAAGGTAACTCTTTGATTACCAGTGCGCTTTAGGCGTTAAAAAGAAACAACGTTGTAATGTTTGATGTTCGTTTGGCTAGTGATGGAAAAGCCGTTGTCATCAAGGATGAGACGACTAACAGAACAATGCAACGCAGTCTGGTTGTCGCAGATACTCCTTCTAACAATTTGATTAATCTAACCTCCCCAATTGGGTCATTTTTAGTGTTTTCAATTGTTGAGAATAATTTCCATGATTTTCAATTGTTGAGAATAATTTCCATGATTTTAGTGAGCACATTCCACTTCTTAAGGACGTACTCGATGAATGCCGAAGGAAGGGTGCTAAGGTTGTGATACGAACACATGAAAGCTCTACTGCGGTCAGTCAGACAGGATTGAAAAATCAAAGAAAAATTGCAAACATTATAGTTGCTCTCCGAAATTAGCGACTACGTTAAAAAGCACGATCTTTATACAAAAGTCGTCGTGACAAGCAGATTACCTACGGTGTCATTCTACATGAAAAGACAAGACAAAAACATGCTTACAGGTCAGGAATTCTTGATGTGTAAGGGTGTTTCAGAAGTCTTGTGGCCTAACATTGCAATGCTATGACTTATGAATCACTTGTAATTTCCACTTCCAAATTATGCCACAGAATGCTGCAATCATCCAAAAGGATAAAGAATTTTGCAAGACCAAAATAATCATATGTCTCAAATGTTGTCAAACCTTCACTTTCTGAGAACTGCAAAAGTCCATTTTCTCGGGTTTACAATCTATTCCGCAGCTTGAAGTATTTGGAACATT